TATCTCATTCCAGGCAACCACCAACTCCTCTCGAAGTGCTTCTAGAGTCTGAGGAGGACGTTGCAAATTGAGCAATCTCCTACCCATTATATCCCACACGTGCTCAATTGGGGATAAGTCGGGAGATCTTGGTGGCCATGGTAACAATGTGACATCATTATGTTGAAAGAAGTTTATTGTGACTCTTGCAACATGTGGTCGGGCATTATCTTGTTGGAAAGTTGGATCTGCCAGGGTGTCAAGATAGGTTAAAAGATGGGGTTCTAGAACTTCGTGGATATAACGCTGCGCGTTCATGTTACCTCTGATGAAGATTAAAGGTGACCTGGAACCATAAGCTATAGCACCCCAAACCATAACTCCAACAGTGTGATGAACATGTCTTTCAACAAAAAACTGTGGATTCCTCCTTTCACCACGTCGCCTTCTAACCCTGGCACGACCATCGTGCATGCCTAAACAAAATCGAGACTCGTCACTAAAGACAATACTGTTCCATTCCTGATCCCAGAGTGACCGTTGTCTGCACCACTCAAGGCGATTACGTCGGTGTTCTCAGTGTGGCCAGTATGAAAGCAAGCCAAAACTTCTCATTCGTCGGTAAACACTTCGCAAGCTAATAGGTCTTCCGTGTTCTGCAAACCATTCATTTGCAATGGACGTGGTAGTGGAGAAACTGTCCCTTAAGGCCAATAATCTTAGGCGGCGATCTTCACGGTCTGTTGTTCTATGGCGGCGTCCAGTGCCCCTTGCTCTTTGCGTACGGCCTTCTCGAAGCCATGCCTGACAACACCTAACCACAGTGTCTACACTTCTTTGCACTCTAACTGCAATTGCCCGAAAAGAAAGTCCAGCTTCCCGAAGTCCCACTATACGGCCCCTATCAAACTCACTAAGTTGACGAAATCGTACAGGTCTCCGTACTCTAGGCATCGTAACCGATCGTAAAGGATGTCAAGAACTAAAATCCGCCGACGTTGATTCTTTACTGCGGCTGAAATATTCATTTTTAGAGCGTTAGTGAATTAAAGAAAAAAGTATAAAAACCGGAATGTCCAACTGATAAGGCTGAAAATTTTTTCACTTGTTATTTACAGTAAGATAAATACATTCACCAACTTTTATTAAAATAAAACCATTTAAACTGGGTGTTCGGATTTATATGTCACTTAGTATATGAAAAGAGAGGTTATAATAATGATGACCACAGAACATATAAAAAACCACACTGATGGACCTGTGATGCGTGGATCTCAAAAACTACCTTCTCTTTACGCTGTTGCAACGACATGTTTTAGCTTATTCGAGATTAGTTAATTCTGAATTATTTTCAACTTGGAATTAAAACTAAAAATGTCTCCATTATTTTTATCTCCGGTTAGGTGATCTGAGATTAGAATAGTTTTGGTGAAACCATGAAAAGTGCGTAATTCTAGCCTTTGAGGACGATATACAAAAATGCCAGAGAAAACATAATAAAATAAAATGCAATCACGTGTGGGTCAGAAGAGTGTTGCTCTTCAAAAACCGCACCGTTTATCTTTTGACAATGAACGGTTCGGGTTTTTTACCAGCTTTTTATTTCTGACTAATGGACCGCTCAGAGACGACAGCCCCCAGATTATGTAACAAATTGATGCATATGAATATTAATTCAACATTTTTTGCCGCATATTGTTGAATAGTAGTAGTACAAATATAGCAATTTATATGAGTTATCACACAAAATGAAAACTTAATATAAAGTAAAAGTAAATGAAAAACAATACCTATAAAAAACAAACTCGACACATCAGACACACCTAACTTAAAGACTTACCGAAAAAATATAAAAGATTTATTTATAAAGCAAATAGAATTCAAACTAGTAAATAAAGATAAAATTGCAGATACAAAAATAAGTCCTTCCACTGTCGTCGCGCCCATATATCTTGAAATCGACTAATCCGGAAGCTCTCCAGAACATCCGCGCGATATTTCTCGAACGCTTCTGATGCCAACCGAACCCTCTCGATCGCTCACGCACGTGAACGCGACGACTCGAAAATTCTCCAGCACATCGCAACCTGCGATACACGGTTGCAACTCTGGTTGCCTAATCGTGCGAGGTATCCTTCCACGATTCACGGTCCCACTTTGGAGTTTTTGTTTCAGTCTAGCCTGAATGTTGATTGTTAGCGCTGTATCCCAATAGGTTGCCGTCCTCATACGGTACTGCGTACTGTAGTCACTCAAACGCTCGCAGGTGGATTTGAGAGAACGAAGGAGATTTACCTCAAGCAGTTGAGCCTGAAGATAGGCTGTGAGCCAGTTGTTGTGTGGCCTGCAAAAAAACGATGAAGGTGCAGAATTAAATCCGACCAGTTTCCATTGCTCTTACTTTTCAGATTGTAGTTGAAAAAACTTTTTCCTTCAGTAATGCAAGAGAATGAGAATTAAATACGGCTTAAGTTCTATTTGTTTGTCCCTCGTATAGACCATAAGTCATGACGTGCTTTCCTAGCCGCCGTATTAGACAAGCTTTTAAATTGACGTCCGTCTCTCTTCCCCAGGATTAAAAGCTTAGCATACTATTACCGTTAATACCTCTTTTTGACCACCGACAAATTAGATTAGTTATTTTTAATAAATTGTGCTGGTGCATGCATATTTATTAATGTGGCCGTTAAATGATTTATACATTTTTTCCGGCGGCTTTCGTTCAGCTATATTACGGAAAATGAGGACCGTACGGAATCTAACGAGGCTTATTGTGGTGAATAGTTTTAATACGACTTAAATATAGTAGACGCATAATTAGAGCCGTTAAGTGTTTTGACGATGATACGACTTTTTTGCTCGGATTGGTGGTCATAGAAGTGTTTCAACAGGTGTCAACCGATGCTGGTTAAAGTCTCGAAAGAGGAGGAAAAAGGGAAGAAATATCAGGGGTCGTCAATCAGCACACTATCAGTCTGCTAGTGGTGGTCATTGGATCCTTGGATGGGTTGAGAAATACACTGCTAGCTGCAATTAAATCCATACCGGAAGAATGCAGAAAGCGGTTATTCTCGGTTCCCTCCGTCTTCCTTGAGCACACGATTGCGGACCAACTAGTTGCTTGACGGAGCCCAGCTTGCCTATTTTACTTTTATATCTGTATATTCATGAGGCTCCACAATAGAATGTTGGAATTGTCAAACATCATCTCTAAATGGAAAATCTAATAAGTATCATATACCGAAGTAATCAGTCAATGAATATAGAGGATTGTATATAAGAAATTTTCTGACCTTTACTTTTGAAAAGTGTTATTGATTAGATACTCTTCGTATACCATTCTGGTAACTTGTTATATAGTCTGGGTCAGATAATTGAGGGACGACCTGTGAGCTACAGGGGTTAGCTGGAACGATGGCTTGTAGATCCACAAGGTAATGTGGCTGCCATAATACTAGGGGTACCCAAAAATACCGGATTTAGTTTTAAAAGCTATTTATTTTCACTTTTTCACAAAGGAACCTTATCTCATTCAAAATACTGTCACAAATCGGGTCTTTTTTGCCGAACGCAGTTCCGCAATCGTTTTAAAGAATCCAAATAGCACAAGCTCTCGGATTTTTTCAATATTTTCGTCGATTCGGACAACTGGTGGACGTATTTTTGAATCGATCAAACCACTCGTACACCTGAGTTTTGCCCATACCATCACCTTTGCAAGCTATTTTCAACATTAAAACAGTTTCAGCTGCATTTTTACCAATTAGAAGGCAAAATTTCACAGTTGCACGTAAAAAATGAAACGAGCACGAAAAAGCTCTAGCAAATATAATGGTAACTGGTAATGAGTGCGTTGTACACCTCTAGGGGCAGAAATGAGTACTGCACAAACTCCGCCCACTGCAATGCTAATCCGGTTACTTTTGGGTACCTCCTCGTACATAACAGTGTTTGAATAGTTTGCCTAAGATTACGTCAATATGCTCCTTCCTTAGCAAACATCAGACGGTAATTAATGAATAAATGGAATTGCAATTACGAATTGTAAGTAAAGTACTGCTCGAAGTTGGTCGACATTTTGACACAAGGTTACTACTATGCCAAGAACGAAAAGGCTCTGTTGTTTTTGAAAATCGGTCAAGTGATGGTGGAGTTACGGCGACAAACGAAACAGGAAAAACCTTTTGTTTCGTCCAAACTTCGTTTTTTGATTTTCCAGAGGCTCCTGGTCAGTTAGGGGCTGAAGGAGATATATCTCATTTGTTTGACGTTCCACGCTGTTTATGTTCCAGTAGCTTTTGGCATGTATTGGAGGACCTTTCTCCCACCCTTCCTTTCTGGTACTATTGTTTGATCGTTTTGATGACACTGGATGCTTACAAAAAACATATTGTCAACAAAGCTACCTCTCGTGCCCAATAAGTAATGAAGTATTTTCGAGAAAGTAGCAGTCACCAAAACCATTGACTAACAAAGCTAGATGGTGGAAGAAACAGCTTATAATTCCTGGCTTTAAAAAAAATTAACAAAAGACCGAAAATATACTACATAACCAAATGTGGATGGTAGGAGCAACAAGAAAAAATAAAAGAAGAGAGGATAAGAAATAAGTAAAATTGTATAGAACAAAGAAAAGGGAAAAAATAATGGATCAGGAAAGTGAAGCCTTGGTAGGAAAATGTAAAAGACAAAAACCTAAACACGAATTACAATAACATATCAAGAAACTACCGAAGAAGATTCTCGTTGTCCAAATCACAAGGAAGTCTACAAAAATCTCCTATTCAAAGACCGAATCATGTGTAGAATATACAACTGGTGAAATGCGACATGTACCGCGTACTTGGGCAGAGGAGAGTTTATTTGTGATAAACGATTTATTAGTATACGAGCCCCTTCCCACTTCAGTTGGCCCACTTCAAGATTTGTACCAAAATATGCCTTTATAAACTAAACATGACGAAACTATTTACTTCTAAAACAATTCATTTTCTCAAAAACATTTTAGATACACTCTAGTCGTAAAAAATACATATTTGAAATCACTTAGACCTATAACTAATAGAACATCTGAACAAATAAACATTGTGCGAATAAATGCGCGAAGTTAACAAAGCAACAATAATTGAAAGATTACCATTGGGTAACATCACCTTTATTTTTTATTACGGCTTACCAAGTTTTGGCAAATATTTGGTGTAAAACAATCTCATATTTCTTGAAGCTTTTGTCTCAGTTCGGTGATTGTACGAGCAGGATGTTTGTGTAATACTAATATGTTTCATAAGTGTCGACCGGGTGTTTAACTATTCGGTTCAAACTGTTCAGTCATTTTTAGGATTGTGAACAAGTATTTTCTAAAATATTAGAGCTCTTATATAGTACCTAGGTTCTTTAGTGCCCAAGGCAGCCATGCAAGGATTACTTAAATTGATATCTTGTTTTAGGGCCTCCAAACGAAATTTTGAAGTTAAAAATCCGCTTAAGTGTTAACCCTAGACATTCATAGAATCATTTTATCGGGATACCTCAAAGTGAGCCTCTCCTCAAAAGCACGCGTAAAGACGCTATCTCCACCTCATTACCTGCTCAACCTCTCAATATACTACCACAATATTCCATCCACCCGATCGAATGATGATGAGCGATGATAAATCACGTGATCGTGGGTGCCCGTTGTGGTATCTCGTATTACATAACGGCCCGAAAATTCGCTCTTGATGGCTGGCCAGACATAAGTACCAGCAGTGGTGGAGACGTTCACAAGATGCATTTTATTCAAAAGATCAGATGTTAAATAAAAGCCTCTCAACATTTAGTGATATTAGTTGCATAGATGACGTTCTTGAAGAGATGGGTACGCCACCGATAACTGTGACCTTGAAAGCTATTTTGTGATGACCAAAGTTTCAAAGCTTAAGGTTGGCGAGGACCAAGCAAGACGATTTAAATCTAAATTGTTGTTGAAAATAAGTGAAACTCGTGGTGAAACATACCAATTGAGTTTTGACTTGCCTTAGTTGGTGATTGTCACCCTAAAGTTGCATGCTCAGTGAGGAGTGCGTGAAGGGAACCACCAAGTCAAACGTAACGCTTGTACTCCACCGTTTTCCCACGACATCTAGCGGTATTGATACTCACTACCAGATGCATTATCATCCCGTTGACGTATGAGCTCTTCGTAATGGGTTCGGTGTCATACGTATTGACAAGTTGACACTTCAAACGTGTTTAGAATTTCAAGAATTTCTGCTATCTCTTTGAAGGTGCGCTACAAGTAAGTTCTTTGTGTTGAAATTTATTAATTATAAATAAGTTTCTAGAATGGCTCAGACAACTTAATTTTGCTTCGTCGCAGGATGCAACAGTCGAAATTTTATACTCGTAGTATCGAACCCAAGAATATCATAACAATATGTATAATTAATGGGTGGCATGTCCAGAAAATCAGACACTGAACAACTTGGCAATTGAATTGTTCAAGGTTAGGTTTGTGAAAGATATTTTTTTGCAGATGAGGTAGAATTATTGAAAATGAAAGTGAAGACGCATTCTTTCTTATATTATATATATTTTCAATTACATACTGCACAGCTGAATATATACTAAGTGACATATACTTCCGAACACCCAGTTTAAATGGTTTTATTTTAATAAAAGTTGGTGAATGTATTTATCTTACTGTAAATAACAAGTGAAATAATTTTCAGCCTTATCAGTTGGACATTCCGGTTTTTATACTGCTTTTTTTTAATTCACTAACGCTCTAAAAATGAATATTTCAGCCGCAGTAGAGAATCAATGTTGGCGGATTTTGGTTCTTGACATCCTTTACGATCGGTTACGATGCCTAGAGTACGGAGACCTGTACGATTTCGTCAACTTAGTGTGGTTAGGTGTTGTCAGGCATGGCTTCGAGAAGGCCGTACGCAAAGAGCAAGGGGCACTGGACGCCGCCGTAGAACAACAGACCGTGAAGATCGCCGCCTAAGATTATTGGCCTTAAGGGACCGTTTCTCCACTACCAGGTCCATTGCAAATGAATGGTTTGCAGAACACGGAAGACCTATTGGCATGCGAAGTGTTTACCGACGAATGAGAAGTTTTGGCTTGTTTTAATACCGGCCACACTGGGTTCTCCCTTTAACTCGAGAACACCGACGTAATCGCCTTGAGTGGTGCAGACAACGGTCACTCTGGGATCAGGAATGGAACAGTATTGTCTTTAGTGACGAGTCTCGATTTTGTTTAGGCATGCACGATGGTCGTGGCAGGGTTAGAAGGCGACGTGGTGAAAGGAGGAATCTACAGTTTTTTGTTGAAAGACATGTTCATCACACTGTTGTAGTTATGGTTTGGGGTGCTATAGCTTATGGTTCCAGGTCACCTTTAATCTTCATCAGAGGTAGCATGAAAGCGCAGCGTTATATCCACGAAGTTCTAGAACCCCATCTTTTACCCTATCTTGACACCCTGGCAGATCCAACTTTTCAACAAGATAATGCCCAACCACATGTTGCAAGAGTCACAATAGACTTCTTTCAACATAATGATGTCACATTGTTACCATGGCCACCAAGATCTCCCGACTTATCCCCAATTGAGCACGTGTGGGATATGATGGGTAGGAGATTGCTCAATTTGCAACGTCCTCCTCAGACTCTAGAAGCACTTCGAGAGGAGTTGGTGGTTGCCTGGAATGAGATACCACAGGAGGACATTGACCACCTGATCAGAAGCATGCCTAGGCGCGTTGGAGAGTGCGTAACACATCAGGTTGTATCCACACAGTATTAAAGGTCAAAGGGATTTAAAGCAGTGCAATCATTTTGAAATTTTTATCATTTACTTATTATGCTTCATTAAGTACTTATACAAAATTTTATTAAAATAAAACCATTTAAACTGGGTGTTCGGATTTATATGTCACTTAGTATATTTGAGAAATAGAGTGACTGTGTACGCAACAATGATACAATGATAAAAAAATACCAGTGGTTGTTTTGTTCAATAAGTAATCTAAACCACATATGTCTACTGAATGGGTTTTACTTTACGGCTGTCTATATGCTTCCGTTTTTTTAAGTACTACTTCACTGTTTTCTTCTTGCCACTTCACTATATGACATACTAGTACTAACAAAATTGTTCTGACTGAAGTGCTCAGATTTGATAATAATGAAGTTTTGCCTCTTTTATGAACTGATTTTAGGTCAAAGAGTTCGTCTGGCCAACTAAAATGTATTTGACTATTTGATTATTCTAGAACATAGCAAGAAAAACTACAATTTGTGATTTTTGAGTAGAACAAATTGCCAAAAAAAACGAACAAAGCGACGTTATATGTGGGGTGGGACATGGTCTTAATTAAACGATGCCTCTTTAAGTCGCAGAACTACATTGAAACATCGAAATGAGCACTAGTAACCTTAGTGGTTTGATAGGTGAACGAAATCGCTTGAAAATTCAGTTTCTGAAACAATGGATGCTAAAGCAGTTTGAAATAAAAGAGTGTTACTATTCAATCACAATTCATGATATTTAGGATTCTCATTATTGTGAAATTTAGCTTTTAATCTACCATCTAGGCATTCTTAACGTCAAAAGCAACCATAACACAAAGCTTCTTACTACTTCCTGTAGCTGTCGCTCAATGCATCTATGGCATTCTGTCTGAAACCATATTGCATCGTATTTTCTTAGCCCACCTGCTATCAGTCGTTCTAGAAGCTTTCCAAGTGAGCTCAGCAACCACACAGATCTGTATTTGGCTTCCCTATCGGTGGGTTTCTGAGGTTTTGAGATAAGCACCACACCAGCCTCCTTCTACCTCTTGTTCTGAAGCATTTATTCATCAAACTGCATGATTTCGGGTATCTCCTCAAACAGAGCTTTCACAGTCTCATTTGGAATTTCATCTAGTCCTGATGCATTATCTCTTTTCATTATACTTTCTGCTGAGCTTTGGTACGTCCAGAGTCTCCATCCGGTGAGTGAGCACTTGGGAAACAATCCCTCTGTTAGTTTTAGCTTTTCCATAGCTATTTTGTATTTTTGACCCCAAACGTGCTCTTCTAGGTCATTTAAGTATTTCCGCATCCTCTGTTCAGAATTCATTATCAGCTTTTCTAGTCATATTGGTGTCGTTGTTTGTGTCACCTTCAGAACATTATTCCTTGTCCCATTTGGTCTACGCTACTTTTTATATTCTCGTATTATTCTATGTCTTTTAGTTAGGCATTATTTCCTTTTCTTGTGGTATTTAATTATTCCTCCAATACTTAGCTTCCTCTTACAATTTTGGTGAACCACTTAGTCAAAGGAAGCAAGCGTTTCCCATATATGGTGGTTCGGTTACGTTAAGCTAGGTGACTTTATAAACGCTCCATAGAATGTAATAGCACGTGTTTAATGATTCTAAATGCAAAATTGGTATAAATATCAACACAGTAATCAGAATGAATTCAATTTAGTACGTTCTAATTAGCAACGGTGCTTGCGATTTGTTTAATGTCGGATATATGTGGTCAACCAGGATGTTAGCAATTTCCGTATGGTGTCAGGTTGGGTTTGGTGATAGGTCGCTCGCGATATTATATCTTTCATCGTTCTCTATTCTATTCTACGCTACTGATACGCATAAGTACATCCGAGAAAACGTGACTTACTCTGGACGCGGGCACTGTAATCATTCAATGCAAATATGTAATTTGGGGGTTTCGGCCGAAATGCCAGCGCCCATAGCGAGGACCATTAACAATGCTGAATAAATAATACCAGCTCCGTCGTTCCATCGTTCTACCTTTAACAAACTGCATCATGCTCGTTTAAATCACTACATTCCGTAACGTTATTAACGCACATCTGATATATTGTATCCAACAAGTATGAATCTTCCATCTCAAAAGCTAACATCGCGTTATGCGGTTTTTAGGTAAGGTGAGCTTATAACGTCGAACGATGTTGGGTGGTTATACGAATACTGAGTAGGCATTTTCTTTGTTTATAAAAACAATAAGTATGTATGATTAAAGATTTTTTTGAATGTTTTCTTATGATATCAAGTGTTCAGTTAAGGGTAATATGTTTGTCGGTAAAGTCTGAAAGTCACTTTTTATGTAATAAAACCTTTCTGTCATTCCCGTGGCTGTCCCTAGCCTGACAACAGTTCCTAATATACCAATAATATAGCTGAAAGCTAAAATAATAATAATAATAATTTTTATTGGAATGTATATATACAGGCTGTCCGCAAAGTTGAGGTTTTCCTTTACACGACGTGTAGATCTTGTAAACAT